GAGCCGTAGGATGTGGAGAGGGAGACGGAGGAGCCATTAAAGTATTAAGTCATCCACTATTTTGCGCAGTTTGCTGTTTTTGGCCCCCCCTTGTTACAAAATCCTGGCTACACCACTGTTTTTGGGTGTTTTCTGACCATATTATTAATTTATTATGTGATTGAAAATAGGAGATTTGGGGATATTTTTTTGGGACAACCAGAAATTGTTGCGGACAACCCGATTTGATGCCTGGGTTGTCCGCAGGACAACCACATTTTTTTTCTTATTTCGAGCACTGTTATAGTTAATATCTTTAATTTTGAACGTCAGACTGCGGACTCCCTCATTTTGCTGCGGACTCTCTCTTTTTGAGGGTAGGGACCCCCCCCCCAGTCCGTTGGACTCCCGTGTTCAAAAGTTAATTTCTACCCCTGTTGGTGTGAGTGGGATTGGGCTTTTTATATATTATGTGTAACTGTAAGTGATGATAACATTATACGAATGTTTTTTTTATGATTTCTAAACAACGATTCTCACAAATTTCCACAAACATGGCGTTTGCCATTTTGTGTGTGTATCTAGGTAGCAGTTCAGCTCGAAGACAGACAGTAACCCCCCCCCCCAGAGTATATTCTAGACAAACAGTAATTCTGCCCTTCTCCATGGTCTGTGCAGACTCACTGATTCTGCCTCTTCCCTTACCGTTCATCCTGGACAGATGGTAGTTCTTCTTTCCTCAGTGTTCATTCCAGACAGACACTGGTGCTGCTCCGTTTCTTCAATGTTCATTCCAGACAGACTAGTTCTGCCGCCTCAGTCTGCGTGCGCGTGTACTGGAGGCATGCAGTACGTGTGAAGATTCAAGTCCTCCGTGTTATTGATTGATCATATCCGGAGGGCTTCAGCCGCTTCGTCGGCTGGCGATGTTTGCAGACTGGTCATAGTCGTGACGCGAGTTTGCCATGCTGTCAAGCGTGCGGTAGATTTCCGATGAGAGCTTCATGATTTTATAATTTTATTATAGATCTCGCCATGATATATCCAACATGGCGGCTCGAGCCTGGCCTTCGTTGTAATCAGAGGCCAAACAGCAGATTAGTGATTAATAAAATACTTGCTACTATTAATAGTGCAGCTTTCTGGAGACCAGCATTTAAAATATTCAATAAAAATAAAAAATGGAAATTTTTGAAGATCTGTTGGTATATAATAAATAAATTTTGTATTTGTTGCACACCTAGTATGGTTGAGTGCTTCTACAAGTGAAGTAATGGTGTGGTGGAGGGGGAAAGTTTACAGGCGTAATACCTACGGCAACTGAAGCGATCTTAAAAATTCCCTCACGTATGGTCACAGCTTGGCTAAGCCTATGTCATCAAACAGCTTGTTGTTTCTCCTGCTGGTGTCTGGTTTACTCCTCAAAATGACATTAAATCAATCTGAACAGTAGTACTGCTGCCAGCATTTAGCATCCAGCATCCAGGGTGACTTTGTCATGGTACTTGTTACGTTGGGCAGTAATTAATTTCATTCTCAGAGTCCCGATGCATCCCGTAGTTTTAATTGCTGTGATTAATTATTCCGTGCACGTGTAATTATTGTTCATGACAGCGCAGTTTGAGTCCCTTGACGGCCAATATTTACGAGAAAAAAACAACATCCCCACTAGCACATGGAAGTTCGCCCTGCCCCTGAATACACGTTGTCTAATTTGCTACACATTCACTTAATTAGTTGGAAGCTGCACAACAAACAGGCAGCGTATATATATAAATTGACTTGTGATTTGTGGAGGATTTATGTTATGTAAATATTCATGGGATGCAGAAAATGTAATGCATGGTCCTACTATTAGTGTATAGATTTGTTGTTATTGGCATGCTTTTCTTTGTTTGTTCCTGCTTTGGCTCTTGTGACATCACTGTGTTTTATTCTCCTCCATTTTAAATGTGTCCATAGTATGAATTTCTCATCCTTGCTTCAAGTGTCTGCATTTGTTAACCATTTAGTAATGCTTTAATATTGCTCATGGAAAACTATTCATTATATAATGTATATAATATTAAATAATAAGAATAACATTCTTATCTGTGTAGATTGGTGAAGGTCTGTAACTAACATCGTTCTTTCTTTGTTTCTTTGTTTCGTTTTTCTTACTATATTTTCTCGATTGGCCCTTGCACCTCCGCTGCCACCTAATAACATACTGTCTGTGTAGCACTGTAATGGCAAGTTATTTTTAAGTAATCCGTACGGATTTCCTTCAGGGTTCCTCATGTAATCCGTAACTAATCCGTAGGGTAATTTACCCTACGGATTAGCGGATTACCTCTGAATTTCGAGCCCTGTATGAGCGATACCGTGCGTGCATATTTGCTAATTAATTAGACTAATCATGTTTCAATAGAATTCACAGAGATTAAGGCTAAGACATACAGTGTCTATAATAGCTAGAATTTATAGAAATGTAACTCAAATCGTTCGCGCCATATGATAGTTAGTACACGTTGCTACCGGCCATAGGGGGGCATATATTAGCCTATGAGCGATACCGCGCGTGCATATTTGCTAATTAATTAGACTAATCGCGCTTCAATAGACTCAAAATTCACAGAGATTAAGGCTAAGACATGTGTCTATAATAGCTAGAATTTATAGAAATGTAACTCAAATCGTTCGCGCCATATGATAGTTAGTACATGTTCCTACCGGTCATAGCATAATAGCGTATGCGGCGGGGTATGCAAAATGAAAACGAAATGTCACGAATTCTATTTTTATCCTCCAATCACAGGTTGGAGCAATTCCTTTGTTTAGACGCATGTGTATTTAGACGTTTACTCTGTCGTCCGCAAGAGACAGATGAAATCTAGCTCAAAACTCACAGGTTATTGCATAAGAATACTTAAAGTTACATCTTGACCCCCACTATTTTACTAGGGTACTGTGTTACATCATGCACACAACCTACTTTAAAATCTATGCCACTTCAAAATTCTACTTAGGCATTTCCTGCAGATGTGGCAATGATTTATTACTAAAGTAAAAAAGTTTATTCAAAAATGTGTTGAATTAGTATTTTCATGCAATAGCTCCGCACCTTTTCACATATTTAAGAGACATTTTGGTAATTGTTTTTATGGCTATCAAGTGTGCATCATATCTGCTAAAGTCACATCTGGCGGTATTGAAAAATAAAGACGACATACTGAATATGGTTTTTAGCAGGCTTCCTAATCTTGATTTAAATTAAATCCCATTACTAGTAGCAAACATAGGTCATAGAAATTTAATCTCTAGAACAGAGTAAGTATAAAATGTAATTGCTTTCACTTGTGTAAGAAGCACATGTCTCATATGAACCTGTGGTAGAGTTTTGTTCTGACAATTTACACAAATTATTTCAGCAGGTGTCAATAAACCCCAATCATAGTATGTGTTTAAAAAAATGCACAGAACAAGTACGTATGGGTATGTAAATAAGGGACAGGGGGATTTTTTAAATACTGTTTAATTTTTTATTTTAAAATTTGTTAGATACATGAAGCAGTTCAGATGAAGAATTTGAAATTGATTTTCTTTGCCAGCAAAACTGCAGGGATTGCCCGCTGCCGGTTCCCACATCCCTGGCAAGCCCCGTCAGATGAGCTGTGGGCTTCATTTGATGCTGACTCGTTCTCTCTACGTGTTTGTTGCAGCCAGCCACTGAAGCACTAGTTGAATTCTGCTCCTGTGCCTTACTTATTTTTTGAGCACGAGACCAGGAACCGACCGATTACAAAAAAACTGCAATCATGTCGCAAGGTAAGTTATCCATGTTGTCACTAGAATTGCAGTGTTCCCAGAATGTTACTTCGAGTGGCTATTCTGTTTTTCGATTTTGCATGGGTGTGTCCAGCCTGCTTGACGCCTGAGTCATCTGCTGGGTTTTTAGTGTTGCACAGTCAATGTCAATTTTGTTTTTATTCATTAATTGCTGGGTCTGTAAGTGAATGAATGCTAGGCATTGTTGCCAGCTAGACGATCGCTTATCCACACAGCTGCGTTTAGACGAATTTCACTTGGATATTTTTTTGATTGCATTTTGTTTTGCACGTGTTGGAAAAGTGATTGAAGGGGTTTAAAACATACGAATTGGGGTTTAATTGTGTAGATGGTTGTGCATACATTGCTAATTTTAAATGATTATACACTAGAATTAGCCATTTTACATTTAAAAAATACATACGACACCAATCTCTGTAGTGAGGACTGTATTAAGAGTGGAAATAAGTGAGTTGGGCTTTCTACACTTTAAATAACTATTTATTGATATGGGAGGTGCTTATATACCTAAACACATACTGTTGATTCGTAATTGGTATCCATTAGTGGGCTAATACTTTAGCAGTTCACATGAGATAGGTGTGATGCCGATATATCTTGTAATCATTGGTGTGGTAGCTGGGAATGTTGATTCGCAAAAAAGCTAGTATGTGAATATATGATACTGTTTGTTCATAGAAAAAGTGTGTGCCAAAATCTCTCTCTGGAAGCACCTGCCCCACCCACCCATGTGAATCTACTGTGCCCAGAGTACACAAATACCTGAACAATTGATTTTTGGGTGCTGACACAAAACTGGTGCATGTACCCCCCCTATGCGTGCAAATTTCACAACGATATTGCAATTAAACCTGCTGTCTCCCAGTGTGGTACCCTGCGGAATATGTGCGCACACGAATTATATATCATTCCTCTGTTCAAACTGGGACTAAGGTGTACAGATATGTTCGTGGGTGTGGTTGATGCATGAGCCGCCGTTGCAGCCTACGGAAGAGCGAAATTTGTTCCTTGCAATAGGAATCAATATTTCGCGTGTGGTGGGGAGGCGATGTATGCAGTGTATTTGTGTGTGTGTGCATGCGTTAGTGCGTGCGTGCGTGCGTGCGTGTGTGTGTGCATGCGTGCGTGCATGCGTGCGTGTGTGTGTGCATGCGTGCGTGCGTGAGTGTGTGCGTGCATCAGTGTGTCTGTGTGTTGCTGTGTGCGTGCGTGCGTGCGTGCGTGCGTGCGTGGCTGTGTGTGTGCGTGCAGAGAAGTGACTGCATGTATTCCCCCTGTAATCCCCCTCTCTCACGCTACATGCTGGCCTCGCCCTTGATCTGCAGGCAGTCATGCTGGCGACGCATCGCCTGGCATAGCCTTGGACGCGATTGAATGCTTCGGGGCATGTGGCGCCATTTATAACAAACTGCTAACCAATGATTGGAGATAACGATTAAAGCCTGGAGCGCGTCGACTCTCATACCTTTGCACGCGATCATTGCAGAATTCGCTGGGGGAGGCAGTCGGCAGTCTTGGTAAAGATTTCTGTCATTGAGGTTCTGGCAATGTTCCCTCGATTCCCAGTAATAGTTGTCTTTTCTCATTGTTTCTGTATTGGTAGCAACAAATCACGCACCTGCAGTCTGCAGAACATACGTGGGTTTAGGTGTGCTTAAATGGGGAAAAAAATATCTTGAGCAACAAAATTGCTCGTAGTCGAAAAAATCGTTGAAGATTTTGGTCGATTTGACCGTAGGAATGCTATGCAGTATGTGGGGGGAGCAGTTGTCATCTGCGTCGGTGTGTGTGTGGGTCTGGGAGGGGCTTGCATCCCCCGCAGCACTAATCCGGCCGTGCCTACTACTGCTCATAGGGTCTATGTCCCCCAGGGTACTGCCGGAACGTACCCTGGGTACGGTCCGGTATACCGGAACGT